CAAAAACGTCCTTGGCATAACAGCAGAGTGGACCGTTATACTACGGTCTATTTAAACTGACCAGTGTAACCTTTTATATGTTTGGTTGACTGTATTATTTTGATAATGAACAGACTGCGATGTAAGTTTGAAGTGCTAGAATATGTGGGGTGTGTGCGCGCAAGGCGCGATCAAACAGCTGAAACATAAAAAACTCCATTTTTGTAGTAAGATGTAATCCGCAAAAGTGTTTACTTTTATTTTTGCACACTCACAATAAAAACAGAAGGTTTCTGCTTTTGCAAAATAAAGCAAACAAACAGAATGCGCGTTGTCATCCTTTTCTTTCCGTGAACTTGTTTATGGAGTTTATGGAACAGATCACTTCTGTTTTAAATCTGTTAGCTTAATTATTTAAGCCAGATATACTTCGCTTTTTTTTTTAAATGAAAACAAATTGTTATTTTTATTTAGGCCTATTGCTTACATAGGCTATACATTTTCCTTAAAGCATCCCATTTTGTCCCAGGGCTTGAAAAAGAATTATCTGGGGAAATGACTTAGTTACTACATTTCTATTGCTTTCCATGTTGAATAACTTTGTGTTGTTTCTATTTTAATGTACTTTTAAAGTTTAAATCACATTAAAAGCTTAATTTGTACATTATGAATATGAATGAATGATGATGCATTTATATACCGTCATTCACAGGCACGTGTTTTGCTCATGAGCCGCACGCAGCCCAAAATTAAACCGCTTAATCGACCATCATTAGAGGAATAATTGGTTAGCTGGAAAATGTTACATCGCAACCATGCTTTTGGATGCCGTTCGAGCCCATATAGCCTACATTCACGCGCGTGGCTTTGTTCTGGTTTGCCGGTTGGTCAGGAATTTCCACAAATTCAATAATATTTAGGCATTGTTTCTTTTCCTAAATCCTCACAGTCTAACCCTCTAATTTCGCAGGTTTATTTTATTGTCATTCACTTTTTATCACTGTTTTCGCATCTAAGGGAAATGAAAGATTTCATGGCCATGAATTAAGAATTTGTTCGATTTATTAATTTGTTCCCTCATTTTAGTTAAATAATGGGTTAAGGAACAAAATTAATGAAACATGGACAGTGGCCACAAATTAATAAGTCGTAGGAGCGCATTCAGTTGGCCGCACCGCAGCCGACTCGTCAATAAATGAGTACAAAACAGCGTTTCCAAGCACCTGTCGGTTACTGATTGTTTGGAATTATAAATATGAGCGTAGTTCATCTGTTAATATCACAAGCACTTTTTTTGTTTGTTGTTTTTTTTTTATTCAGACACAGGCATTGCAACTTTTTTTTTTATGGATGGGTGCATTTTATTTAACTGCTTTTGGATGGATGCATGCAACACCCGATGAGTGGCATTAAACAGCTTGAAAGATCAAAGACAATTTTTAATATAACTCTGACTGGATTCGTCTGAAAGAAGAAAGTCATATACACCTAGGATGACTTGAGGGTGAGTAATTTATGGGCTAATTTTAATTTTTGGGTGAACTAACCCTTTAATGTAAATAAAATACACAGATACGTAATTTCTTCAATTACCTTATATTTTTCCAGGCAACATGCCTTTATGACCTCTCACCTTGCAACTGGGAGTCAGGCATGACGGACACCCAATTTCTGATCATTAACAGCATCTGACCGAGTTTACGCACACTGTATTACACCATAGACAAATATGTAAACTGCCTACGAAGTGTAAGCCAAATTCCCAGTAGTTAATTCCTGCACAGTGGAACCAAGGCTATCTTTACCATTGTCCTGTGTCAAAGTTGGAACAGTTGTTCCGATGAGCATCAGCATGACGTTAATTTAATTTTTGACTAATACTTTGTAGAACGTATTTGTATTCTGGAATTCCTTTAACCTCTTAAAACAGAACATTTGGGATCAAAATCAAAATAATACATTGTGACAAGTTGTGGACACATGTTGATTGTATCATGCCAAAAAACATAAAATACCCAACAGTTGTTCCATCAGCACATGAGAATAACTGGACATAGAAATCAAAGCCTAGACACATCTGCTTAGCATTTAACAATAGTCAAGTCAAGTCAAGTCTGCTTTATTGTCAATTCTTCCACATGTACAGCACATACACACAGAGAATTGAAATTGCGTTACTCTCAGACCCTTGGTGCATACAGATAACACTAACAGTAGAACATAAATACAGATATACAGATTAAGTATAAAATACAACTATACAAATAAGGTAAAATGTAAAAAAATATATAAAAAAATATATATAAAGCAGCACACGGCACATGGCAGATAGAGTGCAAACCAGTGAAGTAAACAACAGTGCAGATATAATGATTTGTAGTGCAAAAAGAGCTTATTTAGACTGATTAAAGTGACTGTGTGTGTGTATTTGGGAGGGGGGAGTGGGAGAGTCC